CTCAATGCCATTGCAAATTGAACAGTTCAATTAAAAGCTAATTTAACTATAGCGTTGCTTTTAACGGCAGCACTTTGTTATTATTACTGATTTTTACAGCTGCACATGTGTGTGCCTGTGTGTGTTCTAAATTTATCATTAATATGCCAGGGCTTTTAATTATATTTCTCAACGGGATAGGTCAGTGCTTGGACAGGGGAGGAGCCTTATCGATTTTCGCTCAGCTAGATAAGATTAGATACACGCCCAACATTCCGCGCCGAGCTCAAATTTCGAGTCTGCCAGTCAATTTGCCGTCCCGTATTTCAGAGTTGTCAAGTAGCGCCAATATATTTAAATTGCATTTAGTTGGTAGAACTGTAAAGAGATCCAGATACATATACTCAAAGTCAGGGCGCGCATTGTTTCTGTTGGAAATGAAACGCAGCTGGGTGCCAAGAGACAATACCAGAATGTCTGGCTAGCATTTCTCTTGGCCTCCTCAGCTCCCTTCAGTTCTGTGGAACTTGTTTCCTTGTTTGGCCTGGCGCCTTGATGCCTTTTTACCAGTTTCTCTGTAGCCTACCAGTTTATGGTTGAAAGCAAAAGTATACCATATAACTTGCATCAATCTATAAATAGTCGTTTAGCAGGAAATATTTAATCGGCAACGAATCGATATAAAACCAAACCCTAACTGAACTTCTCTCAGCCAGTGGCACGTAATGAGTTTTGTGTGCTATTAATAATAATCGACTTTCAGCTTATATGTGACGTCTGTCTGACTGGCTAATGGTATCTGTTGACCATAGCTGCGGCTTTTGCCTGTCAAGCGATACATCAATCAATCGTAATTTGCTATTCGACCTCTGGAATCGCATCACTTCAGCTGTTGATTCAATTTGCAACAAGTTGTCGACACGAAACAAAATTAGGGAAACAAATTGGAAAGATTACAACACAAAGTTAGGATACATGTTCTAACTTCTGTTAGTTTTAGATTTACACCCAAACTTGTTGCGAATTTTAACGCGACGATTAAAAGCAACTCTGATTTACTTGAATTAATCGAGTGACAACTGTACTTTTAATCGAAATGGAGGGGGAAAAACCTGAGCAGAAAAATAAAAGAAAGTGAAAAGTAAATGCCGCAACCGAAGGGACTTCAAATGAAATCTCGTAATATTAAATTATGATTTACAAATTGTCTCACACTTTTATTTAATAAGGCGTTGAGAATTTTGTAACTTATCTCCTTCCCTCCACAGCTTTCAGGCTACTTTGTGGCCTGGCCCCAAAGCCTGTTTAACCTCGCGGCGGTCCATTTTATAATAACCATAATAATCATAAATACAAAACATAATACCAAATGCCGCCCGCCCTTGGACATTGCGGCTGGCTGGGCTCCAAGCTGAGCCCTGAGCTCCACCTGCTGACCGTCTCCTTGGCAACGGCTAATTATGCGCGAGTGGAACAATTTGGACTCATGGTCAACACCTAACTGGCATCCATCTACAGCAAATCCAAGCACAGCATCCACTTTACCCATAAAAGTTAAAATCCCCCCTTGAAATGCTACGTGCAACCGCCGCACCCCGCAACCAACCCCACCGCCAGTCTGCCTGGCAACTGTTGGCTGCGTCGCAATAAGTTTTTTATACCCAGCACCCAGTCAAGTTGGGTATGAAGGGGTATATTGGTTTTATGCAAAGGCATGCTACGAGCAAAAGGACAACGAGCTCAGCCTAACTATTTCCATCTATGTGTCAATCTCTAGAACTATACGAACTTTATATGATATGTATCTTTTCGATGTCTGCTCCCATTTCCAAAATATCGCATCAAAAAAAGTTTTTAGGCGTAACTGGAAGACTCTCAGTAATAGAAACATAATTTAACACTTTGTTTAGTATAAATCGATTGGGAATATTATACTTTTCGGAAAGCTCTTCCCGTTTCAGGCAAAAACAAAACGTGTAAAGGGAAAATTGGGTAAATTTCTGAATGTTTAGATTGAAAAAACTCAAGTTATTTAAAAATCCATTTCCAAGAGTTTTAAGCCAAGAAGAAGCACATCCGTTGCTTGCTTGTGTGTGTGTATGTGTGTGTGTGATTATGTATATTTTAAGACGCTGTGTGCAGAGTATCTTCTAGTCGCGCACTCCCACCGAAAGCTCTCTTGTTGATATCGTCGTCTTCTTCGCTATTTTCCTTTCCCGTTTTTCTTTATGAGCTATTGTTGTCGCTTTTGCTTCGTTCGTACTTGGCTGCGAATATTTAACATATACACACACACACACACACACATACATATATATATATATTTTTTATCGCTTTTGTTTTTATAAGCTCGAAAATGTTGTCAAGGATGTTGTCCGGGGATGTGTTGGTATTTATAGCTGCCAGTGAAGTGTCTCCGTGCTCTCGACCAGAGCTGGCGCAACGATATAATCTTTGGATATTCATAAATAAAAAGCGTTTCAACGTTTTACTTTTTAGTCTAGATATGACACAGACTCGTTTGTTAACTGTTGAAAAAATTCAAATAAATAAGAGCCTAGCCCAACTTACAACTTGGTGAGGCTAACAGAGTATGCTCTTAGTCAAGCAGCCCGTTTATAATAATATTTGTTCATTATCGTGACCTTGCAAAAAAAAAGCGCCCTAGGTCAGGGTCATTTCTAGATGTGCCAAGACTCTAAATATATATTCATTTTTGCAGGCACAAATTTTTACAAATTTTATGAAATTTTCTCACTGGCAATCCACCTATATTCCACCTGCTTATCTCTACATTTCACTCATTTATATTTTCCATTTCACTTTATCTACTTGCAGCACGATTTGATGTTGCACAATAGACAAATTGCATAAGAAGACTGAAAAAAGTGCGCTCCCACACACACATACACACACACACACACTCACACACACACAATCACACACACATTAAACCCAGCGCTAGAAAAACAAAGAACATTGCAAAGATGTCATCACGTTCCAAAGAGAGAGTAGTCACCGCGATTCGCAAGATCTTCCACAAGTCCAGCAACAACAATAACAATAACAACAACAACAACAACCATAATAATAACCACAACAACAACAACAACAGCAGCAGCAGCAGCAACGATAAGAGCAGCGATAAGGTCGACGGCGCCGAGCACAGCACCAGCAGCAAGAATAACCTTAACAACAACAACAACAACAATGATGTCGCGGCCGCATCCACAGCCACAGGCAACGCAGCAGCAACTGGGGCAGCAAACGACATGGCAGCTGCAGCTGGAGCTGGAGGAGGCGGCACAGCTGGCCAGCCCAGTCCGAAGAATGCGATCGTGCGCGTAGCCGCCGAGCAGCCCGTCTGCGAGTCTCCGGGCAAGCGTCGCCGCCAGGATCACAAGTAAATCATGATAATTGCGAGTTGACAGATTCATGTGCTAATCCTTTGCTTAAACAGAGTGGCCCCAACAACTGGACGCTCGCTGATGATGCCACCCGATGCCAGCATACGCTCGCGTCGCCTCATGAAGGAGTATCGGGAAATGGAACGCCTGCAGACCAAGGACGATGCCGTTTTTACGGTAATGTCAATGCTCTTGCCTTTGCCCTTTGCCTTTTCCATATTCAAATGTTTGGACTTTCGATTCCAGGTGGAGCTAGTCAATGACAGCCTGTTTGAGTGGCATGTGCGCCTGCATGTCATCGATCCGGACTCACCGCTGGCCCGCGACATGGTTGAGATGAGTGTGCCGGCGATTTTATTGCATTTGAGTTTTCCCGACAACTTTCCCTTTGCGCCGCCATTTATGCGCGTTGTGGAGCCGCGCATCGAGAAGGGTTACGTGATGGAGGGCGGCGCCATTTGCATGGAGCTGCTCACACCGAGGGGCTGGGCCAGCGCCTATACCGTGGAGGCGGTAATCATGCAGTTTGCAGCCAGCGTTGTTAAGGGCCAGGGCCGCATTGCGCGCAAACCGAAAAGTACAAAGGAGTTTAGTCGGTGCGTCCTTGGTATAGAACAACTGCCTCCGTAGCAATTGATCTAATTCGGTTTATTTTTCTGGTCTCTTTTCGATTCGTACAGCCGCCAGGCAGAGGAGTCATTCCGGTCACTGGTTAAGACACACGAGAAGTATGGCTGGGTTACGCCCGCTCTCGCCGATGGCTAAAGATGCAGTCCCAGATGGACAAGCCCGCCGCTCGCCATAGCAGCTCATGCGTTTGCCAACTTAGTCAACTAAATGAATGCAACTCGATTTCCATTTAACATACACACCGCTCATTACGATACTACAAAATAGTTGTAGGATGCTTATACTGAAAATTGATTTCATTTCTTTAATTTAGTTAAGTAACATGTAAACGATTTCAATTGTCGCAAATAAATACCATCCAAGAGGTAGAAGAGGAAACTAACAAAGAAATTAGCCTAAAATGTAATTTAGCTGTAGAACACCCATGGAAATTACACAAAAACAAAATAATAATATTAATAATAATAAAAGGAAAGTATTATAACTTCATTAAGTTGGAAGAAACTATTTAAGTTCCACATTACTAATACATATATATATATTATTTACAGCATATATTAGTTAATGCAAACTAAATGAAAGCATCTCGGAATGTGTTATTATAATTAGTTGTGATTTTTATTAAGTTAAAAACCAAATTACAGATCTAGCCTACATACATATATAAGTATGAACATTTTCTTAAGTTTCGCATATAGTAAATATAAATATATTAAATGTCTCTATGTGTTTTTGCATTGCCTTTTCAATTAAATACACATACAAATTAAATGAGCAGCATGGCGTAGCGGGCCATTTCAAAATGCGCGCGAGCTTAGTGTTGCACAGCGTCAAAACGGACGGCATTGCTGGTCAAGCATATGCATGCGACTCGTCAGTCAGAGCCGATCACAATGACGCCACGCATTCCGCTAACAAGCATTTATCAGAAAAATTAGTTGCCTGCCCATTTGGCGAGTTAATTTTGGAACATATTTGTAGTTTGAATGCTGTAAATAATAGTCGCGTATACTCGAGCAGCATAATTTTATGCAATGTTAGCGCTGATTTTGCTTTAATGTCTGAACGTGCCTGGTTACCGCGTAAGTGTCGTTACCCAACACTAGGAAAAAACTGAAACTGGCTGCAGAAAATTGTAATCACAGGACATAACTTTGTAAGTAAATTAAAGCATTTAGATAAGTTATTAAGGTAGCAAATGCCAAACAAAAGCTGCCACAAACTTTTGCCCAACTAATTTGTGCAACATTTGCATGCGTTGCTTGTGAATAAGCGGTGTAAAAGCCCAGCAAAAAACTAGCCACTCGCAACGCACGCAGTTGATGCGAAAAAAGATTGACAAGCTGCGACGGTGACGCCGACGACGACGCCGACGTCGACAGCGTCGTCGTTGAGCTGCATGGACAACCGTATGAGCATTTTGAGGCAAATCCTAACTTGGATCTGCAGGCAAATTGCGCCCCACCAAGTTTGAGCTGCCCAAGTGAACCGATCGACCCAAAATTGAACCAGCACACCAGCTGAGTGCGAGCGAGCGAGCAAGAACAAAATGTGTGTGTGTAGCTGTTGTTGTTGTTGTTGTTGTTGATTTTGTGTGTTGTATAGTAACTATGTGTATGTGTGTGTGTGTTGACAGGCAATTTTGTAGCAACTGAAACCCACGAAACATAAAAATACCCACACCGTAAGCGTCAGCAGCCCGCAGCACATAGCAAAAAATAGTAAATACATAGTTTTTGTTATTTTTAGACTCGTTTCAATGGACACGAACGCTAGCAGCAACAGCAGCAGCGGCAGCGGCAGCGGCAGCAACGATGAGCAGCCCAACAAGACGCCAAACGAGGCAGAGACGGCTGCAACCTCTGTGCCTATGGATACGCTCGATCCGCCGCTCAGCGGCAGCAACAACACCAACTCCAAGACGCTCAAACGCTGCCTCAGCGTGCCCATAATACGCACGCTGCCGGGCAAGCCGACGCCGATGACGACGCGCGCCGCCGCAGCAGCTGCCGCGGCAGCCAAAGAGCAGACACCAAAGAAGAAGGAACAGCAGCCGCAGCAGCGGCCCGAGTCTATTGTCAGCAGCATCGGCTCCAATTTCAGCCTCAACACGCTGGCAGGCATCGATTGCTTTGGCAAAAATATACACATACGCTCGCAGCCCAGCTCGCGGGAAGTCTCGCCGGCGCCAGTTTTCAATCCGTTTACGCCACGTGCACGTCGCTACTCGGCCAGCTACAGTCCGGCGCTGAACGGCGCCGGAGCGGGCTTGGGTGCAGCGCTGTGTGTTACGCCGCGCGTCTCACAGCTGCGGCAGGAGGAGTGCGCCGATCTCAACAGCCGAGAGGTGAATCACGAGCGTGAGGTGCATCGCGAAATTCAAATCTCACAGAGCTGGGAGGATCTAACACTGGTGGCGGAGAACTGGTCCTGCAAATCAGACGAATTCTCCAATCCGCTGCAAGTGGTGCTGCCCAACGGCAGCAGCAACAGCACCAGCTGCTCCAGTCCCAGCCCCACAAGCAATCGCGCCGGCATGCGCCTGCCCTACTCACCCTCGCCGACACGTCGCACATTCGCCACACGGCGCTCCATGTCGCCCATCGCAATGCGACCCTCGTCTCTGGGCCCCGTCAAACGCAAATTCGAGCTGGACGACAACAATCCAGGCGTCAGCAACTGGAGCGTCTACTCGCCACCGCCGCCCAAGAAGATCTTTACAGATAGGTGAGTGCAGTAATCAACTGGTGCCATGTCAGGCAAAAGTTTTCCAAGTTTGGAAAGTCTCACTGGATGTAGAAACTCATGTATGACAATTAGGAACTGAGGGATTCACAAGATATGGTCTAAACTATATTCGATTCTCGGAAAGCCCTGCTTATGCCACATAAATGACCAACATTAAACTTTTGCCTATTGCAGCCGTGGCTCATCACCTGTATGCCAATCGCCTTCATCCGTGTGTCCCAGTCCCGACTCGGGCACCTACGACGGACGCATTACGCCCAAGCTCTTCATATCGAAACTGTGCACCAACAACAATGCCGGCGGCAATAATAACAGCAGCAGCAGTGGCTGCCCCTCGCCGGTGTCTGCTTCACCCAGCAGCATTCTACCTGGCAATGGCCTGGAGGGCATGTGCCTGACGAGCGGCAGTCAAAGTCAGAGCATCGATGAGGGCATCTCCATACCGGAAAGCGAGCCAAACACTTGTCGCAGTCGCACCTCTTCCATATTGTCGACAGCCTCGTCCAGCAGTGTGCTCGGCGGACCCCAGCTGCTGGTCAACGATATGGTTGATGATGCTACGCTAATGGATGATGCCAAGAGCGAAACGTCATCGATTGGCGGATGTTCCACAATCAGCATTGAATCCTCCTCCTGCGACAGCGGCGCCAGGGCGGCGGCCACATTTCTAAATCGCCTGGCCGTTGATGATGGCGGCTCGCCGCTGGCCCAGAAGAGTTTCTACATCAATAAGCAGGGCTTTTCCGGGGCCAAGAAGTTCATTGTTAACCACGAGAAACTGAGCACATCTCTGGACCCCAGCAAGGCCAACAAGCAGGATGTGCAGCAAAAGCTTTAAGCGATTCCCCGCATCGCATTGTACAATAGATTATAACCTGCAGCCGCGTATGCCTTCTATAATTTGTATATGCTGCTGCGCCATAGTTATATACGTAGCTCTAATAATGGCATTATTAATCAAGCGTTATTCTAACCCAACCAACACCCACCCAATGTCCCGAGCTTTACTTAGTTTGCCTTATCATTAAGTACTGTACATAATTAAGTTGTTTAACGCCAGATCTTGTATACATTGCATATCATCTGTATAACCTAGCCTCTCTTCTATACCCTGTAATTCTTTCTTTATAATTAGCAACATGTGTTTTTAATATGTTTATTGCGCGATCCGAGTTGATTTAACCGCTAACCCGATATCTTATGTATATGTCTCATTACCAATGCCGTTTCTGTAGATGACATATGATACCTATGAAATAGTAACCACTTTTTTTTATATACATATATATTAATATATATAGATTGCTATATTTAGCCCTATTTACGGTACACCTAGTTGTTAGCCCGCTTAGATAATAGTACCAATCCAATTTTGCCAAATATGTTTCTTATATGTATATGTACGTATGTATATGACACGTTTGAAATTCGATCGATTTAATACGGATATCTGCGCGTATCCGACATTATAAAATGTTTGTCTTACGATCCAGTCGAGCATCGTATGCGAATTTAAATATTTAGCTTCAAGATGTTATTTTCAAATGAACACAAAAACATAATAAACAAGTTTTTTTCAATAGATTAAACACAAGTGTTAGATCTGTTATTTACTTATATCAATTGACAAGAGGATATATTGCTTTTTATATCCCCAGCACCTGGTTATTTCCGATTTAGGTGTCTTAAAATAATCTTTTCGAATAAGTTTTAAAAAGTCGTAAGGGAAACAATATATGATGTTTGTAGAGCTCGCACGCCTATAATTCTTTAGAATCAGATTAATTGTTATGCAGAACACGCCTATTGTAGGGGCAAAATGTAATGGAACCTATTTTTATACGCTTGTTAGGGCTATTATAATTTTATATTGAAATGTGTAACGCATAGAAGACTTTTCCGAGCCCATTGAGTAAAAATAATCTAAAATACCCATGCCCTGTTTATTTCTATATCTATTAAAGCTAGTTCCTCAAGACTATGCTTAAGTCAGTCTTTATGTTGCAGGCATTATCAGACCACTATATCATATAGTTGCCATAGGAACAATCGGTCGAAAAGTAGGATCTTGAATGGAAAATGTTAACGATGATCTTTACCAAATTTCCTTGACCAAATTCGGCATTTATAAGTTTCTGCAAAATCTTATCAGCATTAGAACACTTTATCATATTGTTATATAGGAGCGATCGGTCGAAAAATAGGATATCGTATCAATCAATCAATCCCAGCTTAGCTGTTCTAATATACAAGGGTATTTAATCTTCGGCGCGCTGTGCAGCACTTGATAGTTGCGCTCACAAACATAGAATATATATATGTATGTATATACATATATATCGGTTATAGGTTAATTATTCCCCGTAATACTAAACCATCCCATTACAGGTGAATGTTTATTTTTAGTAATATAAAACTGTGATTTAATTACAGCACCGAGCTATAGACATACATATGTATGTGTGCGTGTGTATGCATATGTACGTCCGTCTGGCTCAGTAAAAGTTCGAACAACTGGCCGAGCATTGCTCCCCACTCAGCCAGCGGCAGGCAGGCACATGGCAGATGGAGTCTATTTGTGCCGAGGCGCCCAGGCTGGGGCCGAGTGGGCGTGCGTTGATTTAAAACAAGTTTTATAGCTGCGCTTAAAGTCGATTCGTACTTGGAGTCACGATCGCATCTCGCTCGGCCGTTTGGCGAGAGGAGGAGAAAATGAAAGACTGGCAACCGATGTTGTCGTGTTTGGTGCGACGTGCGATCAGCTCAGAATCAACCACCTACGCTAAATACATACAAATGAATGATTGGCATGCCAACCATGCCAAATACATACATACAACCATTGTAAAAGGGCCCCCTTTTGTGCCGTTGCTCAACACTGTCAAAAGGCTGACGCAGCCACCACGTACATACATACGTATGTGCATGTGCGTAGCTTTTTGCTGCCAACGTTGACGCTGACGCCAGCGACCTAGCAATAAAACGAATATACAACAAAAACAAAACACAACATGGCAAATAATTAAAGTCTGTGGTTGTTGTTGGGCAAAAAAGGAAAAAGAGCGACAAGAAATGGTTGCGCACGGAGCTCACGCTGCTCGGCAGCCACTTCTGCTGTTTCTGTTGTTGTTGTTGTTCTTCTTCTTGTTTGCATTGTTGTTGGGGCCGCGATTCGCTTCGTTTCGGTCGTGCTTTAATGGAGCTTGCCTCCTTCCCTCCCCCCTATTGTCGGCGTCTGCTTCACTGCTCGCCGTTTGCTGCTCGAAGTAATCTTGAAAATCGTGAGTTGAGTTTTGCGCGACGCTCGCTGGTTTCTTTTTCTCTCACCATGCGCGATCGTTGTTGTTATTGTTGTTGTTGTGTTGTGTATGTTTGGGGCCTTGCTTTTGGTTTGCCCTGCGCATTTTCTTTGTTTTTCGTTTTGGGTTTGGTGCTGTGCGCGCCTGAAGAAAAATCAAGTTAACAGCCAGCGCACGCAACGGTACAGGGTGTGGGCAGGGACAGGGACAGGGGCGGCAGCAAAGAGGAGCAGTTTGCCGGGTCGCAAACGATAGCTTTTGTTGTTTTCAATATGCGCGTACATTAAAAATAAAAAGCCTGCGGCCCGCGTTGACGTTGGCGTCGACGTCGATGCCGTCTTGCCTGTTGCGCCCGCTGTTTTGTTGCTGCTGAGCTGCTTCTGCTTGTTGTTGTTGCCTCGCTTCGCTGATTCGGACTGAGCAGCGACTGAGGCAGCGGGCCGACAGAAACTCGACTTTTGGCGTTTGTCGAGGTTGCTGAGCCCGGGCAAGCGAGCTGCGAATCCAGTTTCTTCTTCACTCGGCCTCGGCTAACAACGCGAAACGGCCACGGCAAAAAATCAGCGCCAGTCACAAATTACTTTTTCCTCTTTTTAATTTCTTCTTTTTTTTTTTTTGTTGTGTTGCAAATTGTTCACCGATTGTTAATGTATTGCGGCAAGGTAAGTTATTATTGTTGTTGATGCTTGCGTAAGGATGTGAATGGCAATTAGCTTAATAAGCATAGCATATGCACAGGCGCAAAAGCTCTCTTTACTCTCCCTCATTTACAAGCTCTCTCTTAGCATGCTCTCTCTTTTCGCTTCCTTTGTTACGCCATATTAGGGCATGGAGCTTGCGTCCGCTGGCTGCGCTGACTGCTGCAGCGACTGCGCCAGCGCGGCGCCCACTTGCTGCACTGCTTCGGGCTGCTGCGATGCTGCCTGCTGCGACGTCAATTGTCAGCTGCTGCCGCCAGATGCCAATAATTATGAATACCACGAGCCGGAAGAGAACTTTGTGTCCATTGACGATGCCAAGATAAAGAGCCTGCTGCTCCAGATCGGAAAGCAGCAGCAGCAGCAGCAGGAGCTGCGACGCCAGCAGCAGCAGCTGCGACGCCAGCAGCAGCAGCAGCAGCTGCGACGCCAGCAGCAGCAGCAACAACAGATTATCGAACTTTTGGACGATGATGAGACTAGCGTGGAGCAGCCGCCGCCAATGTTAATTAGCGCAGCGCACAGCTTAAATCCACGGAAACGCCTTTTGACCGAAAAACAACAAATAGCCAAGAAACTGAAGCAGCGACAACATCGAATTGTGGCCCGGATTGAGCTAAGCGACAGCGAATCCGAGACGGAAATGCCGGAGCCAGCACCGAACAGAGATAGCGAAGAGAATTTGCCTTTGGCTACTGTCAGCTGCGAGCTAGTGGAACCAACGCAGATCATTGAGCTGCCGTCGGACGAGGAGGAGCAGTTCCAGCAGCGGAAACCGCCAGCTAAGGCAGCGCCCCGCAAGCGGCCACCGAGACCCTATATAAAGCGACGCGGCCGGCACTTCTATCAGTGCCAGGCATGCGGCAAGAAGGTGCAGTCCAATTACAATCTGCGTCGCCACATGATGATCCACACAGGTGAGACACAGGTGCAATAGGTGATCAATCAACCAATCTTAGTAATTTATCACTAGGAGAACATAAAACTCCTTGCCAGCCACCTAATCTGTTATTTTGTATCTTTCTATCAACCAGGTGAGCGACCCTTTCCCTGTGATTTGTGCGAACGACGCTTTCGCGAGTTCAGCGACCTCAAGAAGCATCGCCGACGACACATGAACGATCCGCGCTATATATGCATGATCTGTCGCTTGCATCCGCCCATGGAGCAGGACTCAACGCGCTGTGCGGAATGCGAGGGCAAGAATCTGCTACTAGGACCGCAGGACTGTGATGATGTGGAGACTGAAAAGGTGGCGGACGAAGAGGCGGAACAAGAGCTGGATCAGGAATCGGACCAGGACCAGGACCAGGAATTTGTCGTGGAGGAGCATAACGTAAATAAATTTACGTCTTTACCCGTGGCAACCGTATTGGCTTCACGGCCGCCCACGCTGCTGGTTACGCTGGTGCCCACGCCCACGCCAGCCCCAGCCCTACCAGTTAGTGCACCTATAGCCACACCCACACCCGTCCCGCCGTCACGTCCACCATTGCCGCGCAGCTGCAGCAGCGCCAACTCCTCCTCCTCGCTTAGCAACGATGTGGCGCCAAGGAGGCTGGCCAGAAATTCGCGCAATCGGCGCTCCTATCCGTGCCCGTTGTGCCAACGTCCGTTCGGCACGCGCCACAATCTCAAGCGGCACTACATGATCCACACCGGCGAGAAGCCATTCAGCTGCAGCAAGTGCCGCAAGCCGTTCCGCGAGTGCTCTACCCTCAAGAAGCATATGGTGACCCATGTGCGCGAACGCTGGTACAAGTGCCTCAGGTGTCCCGCCAAGTATCAGGATTATTTGCACTACACGGAACACAAGGCGACCCATGGCCAGAACACGCAGCTGGAGACGGACACAAATGGTCGCCGCAGACAACGTTCATCTGAGAGCGAGGATGGCGATGGCGATGGCGATAGCTCTGTGGATGATTGGCTGGAGTGCTGCGAGTGCCAGCTACGTTTCACCCAACTGGATGCCTACACGGAGCATCTGAAGAAGCACGACCTGGAGCTGTATGGCCTGAGTGTCGACGATCTGGACGATGAGGATCAGGATGTAGATGTGGCCTAACATTGATCAGCTATAGATATACACGCTCCATTTGTTAAACTTGTTGCATTCCAAACATGGGCCCCACATTTTCCTTCAGAGATACAATATATTGTACTCAAAAAGGAGCCTCCTTATGCTGGCATAACTTAATTAAGAATATAAATTATACCTATTTGTTATACGAGATGTCTATGCGTAGCATTAAGATCCCATGAAATATATTTTTGTACTGCTAAGAAGAGTTTCAGGAATATCTTAATCAGACCCAAAACCCCATTCTGTAAAAACAACTACGCTTTTTTGTTTAGGTTGAGATTTGAAACTTGAAATTTTTGGCCAAACATATTTTTGGGCACCCAAAAGCCTTTTGCTCTGCTGGATCAACATTTCCTCCAGAAAAGAGCAGCAGAGGGGAAAAAACAGCAAAGGGGAAAAGAGCAGCAGGGGGAGAATACAGGGGAGACTTTCAATTGTGCAACAGGTCTTTAAATCAACGAACTTCAAAATTATTGATCGTAAGCAACATGTAACTTCGATAGGGTTATTTCTAAAGTGACTTGAAATATTTGGGTTTTACTTACCAAACTCAGCATATTATTCATCAAACAGGTGATCGACCATTTCTCTCCGAAGCCATGAATCTTTAGGTTATCACGTTTGCATATATATGTATGCCTGTTTGCATATATACGCATGCATATTTGTTTGTATATATGCATACAGGCATATACACATACATATGTACATGCTTATGTATATATATATGCACAAAAATACATACACATATGTGTGCATACAGACATACATAGATATGCATGTACAAACTTACATACACTCACTTTTGCATACACACGTACACACTTACACAGGCACAAAAAAAAAAAACAAAAAAAAACACCAAAAAAAAATACCAAAAAAAAACACAAAAAAAAAGCACCACACTACTAGCTTTGCATGTAAAACTGCAGAGCCTACTTAAATTCTTGAGAAGCGAGGAGGAGAGCACTTCGCAGCAATTCGTTTTATTTAAATTTGCACAGCACAGCGACAAATAGGCTTCATCTGCGTTTGGTATCAAATAACAAACATGCGTACATACATACATACATGCATGCATGGACACACGCCCACACACATACACACACACACACATACATACACATACAAATGATACTTAATTGCCTTCGTATAAAATACTTGTATTTTGTAAACGTTTTAAGAGCACAATACATGTTTAAACAAATTTGTTTATAATTTACAAGTATGTAATGTATTGTTAAATCTACATTTGGGATAGCCAATGCGAAATCTACGGAAAATATCTCAAGCAATTACTTGCAGTTCGTCGATCAGTTATTCAAACGTTTCAAGGAACAAACAGCCGAGGCTTTACGCTGACTGGGACAAATTCTCAAATAAATTTGCGCAGTTGACCGGCCCAAAAGTTCGTTTTGAATTGCGCTAAAGCGTTTAAAGTAAAGTTAAACTAAACATAAATAGGAGCAAGCGTAAGAAAAATGACTAACAAGCGCGCTTTTAGCACTGAACAAACGAGAATCCATTATAACGAAGTAGGCGGCAGACACCTAGATATCCAAAAGTACGGGCTTTGTCTCTTTGGCACATTTGAAGACCGAACGCATCATTTTGAGAAAGCCCGTATCCTTAGGCTTTTCCAGGCCGCGTTGCACGCGATTTTTCATGACCGAGATGAATTCCTTGTTGCTCAGCTGATTATCGTCTGCGAGAAACAAAAAAGTGTTGAATTCAGTTTAAAATTAACTTAATAAAATGGTAAAACATACTGTTCTCATCGAATATGGTAAAGACCACGTCGACCACGTGATCGGAGAGGTTAACCATGGCCACAGTTTTGGCCACATGCTGCAGCGTTTGCTGATCAATCGAGGCGCCAGCAATGTGATAGAAAGTCAGCGCCGTGTCCACATCATTGATGTTGTTCAGGAAGTGAAAGAAGTCGAGATAATCCTCTTTGGATATGCCCGTGCCATGGTCACGAAAACGACGCTTAACACGCTTCAGTTTCTTTTGCTTCTTCTTGGGCGGATAGCCCGCATATGCGAGCAGCAGCTCGGCAAAGTCTGCCTCGGTTATATTGCCATCATCATTGGGCTCCTTGCGTTCAAACTCAAGTGAGAGTATTTCGCGTTGCAGCTGCTCCTGAAAGTCCAAGAACTTTTCGATTGTCAGCTTCTCGTCCATGTTGGGCCCAAAGAAGTATGTTATCAGGGCCGAATTTACACCCTGCCAAATGCAGAAAATACTTTTAGTGGAAATCTATACAGCTATAAAAAAAGGTTTGTTGTGTTTGTAACAAATAGAAAAAAGTGTGTGCATTTGCAGGTAGTTTCAATTGGATGCAAAGTATGTGCAATTATTAGTTGAGTAAATGTGTGGGTGAGAGGGCTGTGGTAGCAAAATGAAAGCTTAAAAGCGTTTGTTGTTTTCACATAAAGTACCTTCAAGGACTGTAAGTAGTAGTCAAATAAAGGAAGAGAAGTATGTATGTACACAGTTAGACACGCATTTAACGTACACGCGTATTCAAAAGGATTAAAGCCAAAAGACATAGAGAATATACAATACAAAAGATCGTTTAGTATGGCATTCTCAATACTCGCTCGCCCGCTCGCTCGCTGCGCAGATCTCTTGCCGGAGCGCACAGTCCATTCAAACGATAATTACCTTGAATGTGTTCCCTGTATTCGCATGATCCCGATGCCGTGTACCCATGCTGGTCTGCTGGCGCACCAGAGTCGCCACCATTTCAAACTCCTCGCAGTCCACATCCCCGTCGCCATTTAAATCGAACATGCGAAATGCAATCTCGAAGTGGCGACGGGAAACTGTAGGAGACAAACATACCTTAGTATGACTTGGTAACATTAATGAAAATTGACTTACTGGAGAGTACTGTGAGCAGAAAGATGTAGTCGGAAAAGGTAATGAGTCCATAGGAGCCCAGCTTATAGAATATGCTGTTCTTTTCCAGTTGCAAGTTCAACTGCTCCCCCACAGACTGTAAGTAAATAGTTGTAAGAGCAAGGGATGCCATTTAAACCAGTTTAAATGTGGTTACCTTGGGATCATAGCGACGATACTGATCCAGACCCAAACCTGTAAAAGGCAAATTGCGTTAGGCAGACTGTGTTTAGATATAATTGGGGATTAGTTAGTTTGGAGAGCGATGTGGATTTTGGGGTCGGAGGTTTGAAGCCACATACCATCTGGTTGTTTCATGCCTGGCGTCATGCTAGTCAAAAAATCGGTTGGTGTCATGTAGACCTCATGGCGATCATCGGCGACCGGCACTTGGATGGTGGCAAAGTAGCGAAATACTTTGTCTGGCGTCGAGAATTGCCTGATGCGATTCTCATACTCAATGATCTAAGCAATAAGCGTTTAGGAAGATTACAATTACTTTTCTTTTGTTTGGTTTTAGCTTAGTGCGAACAAAACGCAGGCAGTGCAGAAGAAGGTTGCAAATTGAACAGAAATTGAAAAACCAAGCGCTGACGCCAACATAAAACTGGGACGCAGTTATGAGCAGTTCGTGTTAGTATTTAGTCTAGATAAGCCTATATAACTCAATTACCATCTGGTTGTTTAATGCCCGGATAGATAGAGCGCAAAAAGTCCTCGGGTGTCATGCATACAACTGTCTGTGTGGCATCCTGTAGACGCACCGTAGCAAAGTAGCGAAAGATTTTGTCTGGCGTTGAGAATTGCCTGATACGATTCTCATACTCGATTATCTAAGAGGTGTATATTGATGTTGTGATGTGTGTAATGGCAACAGAAAATGTGACGGGCAACATAAAGAGAAACGAAAGTCATAAGAAAACTTAAGTAAATAGTTAAATATTTATATGTACAGCATTGTAAAGTCACAAAAGGGTTTTCAGTGGCAACGATTTATGTTTCGCGTACCTTGCGCTCGCGGAAGCCAACTTTTTCCTTAATCTTTTTGCTATCGTGCGGGTTCAGGCGCGCCTCATCGTCCTCCGACTCATCGGAGCTGCTGTCGCCATTTACTCCGGCCGCATCGGACGGACGCTGGCCAGCATCCGCGTCCACTTTGGGTATGAGCAAGCGTTTCACTCTAAAAATAGATGCATTTTACATATCGATCTATTTTTGTTGGTTAGACCAAGCTACTACTTACTTGCCCCAGTCCAGCACCGAGATGACAAATAAACTGAGCACCAAAAGGTGAAAATATTTGGTAACCTGGGGGGTTTTCTCCTCGCCATGACCAAAACGCTTATGGCCGCGCGTTTGTTGCAGTTGCATTTGGGACGCAGCATCATCTGCTTTTATTGCCAAAATCGGTTGGTATTTGTGGTTGTTGACTGCGGATGAAATTGTGCGGCAATTCTGTAGAGTAGGCACTGCTGAACGCTTTGCTAGAGCCGCCAGCGCCTGCCGCGTTACCAGAAAACGCAGCACAGACATTTTTTCAATGTTCTTATTCTAGTTTATTGCGTTTTTTGCACTTTTATTTTATGCGCATATTCGCATTCGTTCTGGAACTAGTTAATTGTGAATGAATCAAACCAGTTCAATTTGAGCAATAAAATGCAAACGCTTAACAACACTGAACTTAAACACAGTTGATGGCACAATGCATCTATTGTTTTGGAAGCAGCAAACTGGGTAAAATGTTTGTTAAGCAAACATTGTCTTCCCATAGTTATTTAAATTATCCTAAGCAATGGGTAATTTGAACAAAAATCTTGTTGAGTGTTACCTTGATATTTATGTGTGTATATTTGAATAGGAGAGCAGCAACAGATTGAGCTGCAATTCCAGCAACAACAAGAGTTGCCATGTGAGCAGCAACAGAGTGTAAAGCTTGTGGACACTGGGGAGGCGAGGGCGGAAGAGCCGCCGCTGATGGTTATTAGCGCAGTGTATAGCTTGAAGCCAGCGAAACGGCCATTGACGATTAAACAACTAATTGCTAAGAAACTGAAGGAAAGGCACCATCGAGTTATAGCTAGGATCGAGATAAGCGACAGTGAATCCGAGAATGAAGAGGAGGCAGCACCCAGAGCAAATATTGATAAGAATTTGCCTTTGGCTACCGCTGGATGCGACCTGAGGAAATCAGGCCAGATCATTGAACTGCCGTGAGTTCAAGGAGTAGCTCTAATCCAGTAGAAATAATCAATAAAATTCAATAATTATTAGTTTGTGCACTAACTAAAATAAATGTACAAAAAATTCCCCATTATATGGCGTGCTCCCATCTCAACTTCCTGCTGGTACAATGTTTTTAAAACGTAAAGTAATGAGGAAAAAACTGATTACAAATATTTGGCCGCTGTTTGCATGCAGTTTCGGAACTAGGCTACCATATCGAAGCGATATGGCAACACAGTTTGTAAGACAACAATACGGCAGCACAGTTCGTAAGACCGCAGTATGGCAGCACAGATATTACAAAATTTGAGCGGGAACTTATTTTTAAAAGTATACGTTATTTTTTACATTTATTATTTATTTATTATCATATTTTATACTACAGTATATTATTTAATATTTAAACGCTTAAATATATTTCAAATTTGGTTTGAAAATATGCTAAAATTCTTTAAAGGGCAATTCAACAAATTTGTAATTATTCATTCATGAGCCTGAGATATGTTTCTTTGTTTACTCAGTATGAGAGAACTTAATTGGCCAGTCGAATAATGTCTGACACACACCATCAGTCTTCGGTAATTTGTACATTTCGGCAATGAAGCATTTCTCAATGGGGAAGGTGGATTCTCATAGCTCCAAGCAATATTGATGGAACGGTGCCGTGTCCCCAACCGGAGCTAAGCTTTTAACCAAAATGTCCATCAATATGTAGTTCCATATAGTTGCCAAAGACCATTAATTTGCTGCTCGGACATATTGTGCCAGGACACTAAAAAATTCAACTGTTCCGATTCAGTGCCTCTGCTTAGCAGCAAGTTGAGTTCATCTGGGCCTAGCACATACGGCGTCAGATCTGTTATGGTAATATTGCTGCGCTTGGAAAGCAAGCCGGTAACGAACACATCATCCAGTCGAAAAAAGCTGGAGCGTTGTGCGGCCACGTAGAGCCGTCTGACCACATCCGAGGAGTAGAAGACTGCAAAGCCCGGACAGAAGGGCGGATAGTAACGACCGTAGTATTCCCAAAAGCTAACGCGCCACTTGGACGAATAGGAACGTACCACACGGTCTCTGTCCCTAATGGCACACAGCAGCAGGTTCTCTAAAACCGAGTCTGTTGAGAACGGAAGTCTTAAGTGCTGCAGCAGCTGCGGCGTATTGAGGTATATGTCATCATCCACTTTGACCAGCAGCTGCGCCGGCTCGCAGCGAGTATAGAACCATTTGAGAGCCATCACATGCTTGTAGGTCAGGTTAAAGTATCCGTCCAGAAAGTTGCCCTGCAGCAAGTCGCCATGCCGTGTGTGCTCCGCCAGCAGCATGGCCTGCATCGCCTCATCCTCGACGGCGCCGACCAGAAAGAAGAGGCGCAGCGGCGAGCCGGTTGATATAACGGACGGACTACCCCAAGTCCGTCGTATCACGGAGCGTTTCTCAATGTTGTGCGGTGCCGAGTGGACCACGATGAGCGTCCGGATGTGAGGCTTGCAGCGCGTTTGCTTAATGACATAATCAAAATCTTGTAAATCGATCAACTGCTGCGAGTTTTCACTGTACGCAGCGACAGGCTCCACTGTAGTTAGCTGCTGTGGCACAATGCGCGGACCATCCGGCATGAACAGATATATTAACAGGCAAATTATTATCCATAGATATAATGAAATGTTTGAACCGGTTGCCAATAACTGTTTTATTTTCCGTTTCATGTCCCTGATGTGCAGAAAATTGACTGGATTTTTTTTTATTGTCCAATGATCTGAACGTTATATATGTTAAATGATGACTGCCAGAAAATATAGTGCAATCCCCAGCTTATCTGTCCAGGTTCACAGATAACATAAAATCATTTTTATATTTGATAAGAGCCGATAAGTCGAGGTATGTCAGATTCCCAAAATATTGTAGACAATTAATGTAAGCTACCAATACTTGTGTACCAAATGTTACTCGTTTTATTTTCTGATTTCAAAAGGTGTTGATATAATTAAGCAGAAAAGCTTTACGTATTTATTTTTTACATATTAAATATTTATTTATATATTATTTATTTATTTATTTATATTTTATATTTATATATTTTCATTTTTGTCAAGGATCTCTAAATTTTACTTTTATACCCTGAACCCATTAAAAATGGGTATAAGGGTATATTGTTTTTGTGCGACAACCAAATATATGTAACAGGCAGAAGGAAGCATCTCCGACCCCATAAAGTATATATATTCTTGATCAGCATCAAAAGCCGAGTCGATCTAGCCATGTCCGTCTGTCAAAATTTACCACCCCCATAACTCGGCCAAATCTCATCCGATTTTCACGAAGTTTGGATTTTTATTCATGGTTTTCCCTCTAGATTAATCTGGCATTAAAATCTGAACACCGATTTTTTAGTCGAAATTCATGTCCAAATCTTATTACAAGATTCGTATATAGACATGGGTCAAAATTTACCACCCCCATAACTCGGTCAAATTATATCCGATTTTCACGAAGTTTGGCTTTTTCTTCATGGTTTTCCCTCTAGATTAATCTGGCATTAAAATCTGAACACCGATTTTTTAATCGAAATTCATGTCCAAATCTTACCCCAAGATTCGTATATAGACATGGGTCAAAAATTACCACCCCCATATCTCGGCCAAATCTCATCCGATTTTCACGAAGTTTGGCTTTTTCTTCATGGTTTTCCCTCTAGATTAATCTGGCATTCAAATCTGAACATCGATTTTTTGGTCGAAATTCATGTCCAAATCTTACCCCAAGATTCGTATATAGACATGGGTCAAAATTTACCACCCCCATATCTCGGCCAAATCTCATTCGATTTTCACGAAGTTTGGCTTTTTCTTCATGGTTTTCCCTCTAGATTAATCTGGCATTCAAATCTGAACACCGATTTTTTAGTCGAAATTCATGTCCAAATCTTACCCCAAGATTCGTATATAGACATGGGTCAAAATTTACCACCCCCATATCTCGGCCAAATCTCATTCGATTTTCACGAAGTTTGGCTTTTTCTTCATGGTTTTCCCTCTAGATTAATCTGGCATTCAAATCTGAACACCGATTTTTTAGTCGAAATTCATGTCCAAATCTTACCCCAAGATTCGTATATAGACATGGGTCAAAAATTACCACCCCCATAACTCGGTCAAATTTTATCCGATTTTCACGAAGTTTGGCTTTTTCTTCATGGTTTTCCCTCTAGATTAATCTGGCATTCAAATCTGAACACCGATTTTTTAGTCGAAATTCATGTCCAAATCTTACCCCAAGATTCGTATATAGACATGGGTCAAAAATTACCACCCCCATAACTCGGTCAAATTTTATCCGATTTTCACGAAGTTTGGCTTTTTCTTCATGGCTTTCCCTCTAGATTAATCTGGCATTCAAATCTGAACACCGATTTTTTAGTCGAAATTCATGTCCAAATCTTACCCCAAGATTCGTATATAGACATGGGTCAAAAATTACCACCCCCATATCTCGGCCAAATCTCATCCGATTTTCACGAAGTTTGGCTTTTTCTTCATGGTTTTCCCTCTAGATTAATCTGGCATTCAAATCTGAACATCGATTTTTTGGTCGAAATTCATGTCCAAATCTTACCCCAAGATTCGTATATAGACATGGGTCAAAATTTACCACCCCCATATCTCGGCCAAATCTCATTCGATTTTCACGAAGTTTGGCTTTTTCTTCATGGTTTTCCCTCTAGATTAATCTGGCATTCAAATCTGAACACCGATTTTTTAGTCGAAATTCATGTCCAAATCTTACCCCAAGATTCGTATATAGACATGGGTCAAAATTTACCACCCCCATATCTCGGCCAAATCTCATTCGATTTTCACGAAGTTTGGCTTTTTCTTCATGGTTTTCCCTCTAGATTAATCTGGCATTCAAATCTGAACACCGATTTTTTAGTCGAAATTCATGTCCAAATCTTACCCCAAGATTCGTATATAGACATGGGTCAAAAATTACCACCCCCATAACTCGGTCAAATTTTATCCGATTTTCACGAAGTTTGGCTTTTTCTTCATGGTTTTCCCTCTAGATTAATCTGGCATTCAAATCTGAACACCGATTTTTTAGTCGAAATTCATGTCCAAATCTTACCCCAAGATTCGTATATAGACATGGGTCAAAAATTACCACCCCCATAACTCGGTCAAATTTTATCCGATTTTCACGAAGTTTGGCTTTTTCTTCATGGCTTTCCCTCTAGATTAATCTGGCATTCAAATCTGAACACCGATTTTTTAGTCGAAATTCATGTCCAAATCTTACCCCAAGATTCGTATATAGACATGGGTCAAAAATTACCACCCCCATAACTCGGTCAAATTTTATCCGATTTTCACGAAGTTTGGCTTTTTCTTCATGGTTTTCCCTCTAGATTAATCTGGCATTCAAATCTGAACACCGATTTTTTAGTCGAAATTCATGTCCAAATCTTACCCCAAGATTCGTATATAGACATGGGTCAAAAATTACCACCCCCATAACTCGGTCAAATTTTATCCGATTTTCACGAAGTTTGGCGTTTTCTTCATGGTTTTCCCTCTACCACCCCCATATCTCGGCCAAATCTCATTCGATTTTCACGAAGTTTGGCTTTTTCTTCATGGTTTTCCCTCTAGATTAATCTGGCATTAAAATCTGAACACCGATTTTTTAGTCGAAATTCATGTCCAAATCTTATTACAAGATTCGTATATAGACATGGGTCAAAATTTACCACCCCCATAACTCGGTCAAATTATATCCGATTTTCACGAAGTTTGGCTTTTTCTTCATGGTTTTCCCTCTAGATTAATCTGGCATTAAAATCTGAACACCGATTTTTTAATCGAAATTCATGTCCAAATCTTACCCCAAGATTCGTATATAGACATGGGTCAAAAATTACCACCCCCATATCTCGGCCAAATCTCATTCGATTTTCACGAAGTTTGGCTTTTTCTTCATGGTTTTCCCTCTAGATTAATCTGGCATTCAAATCTGAACATCGATTTTTTAGTCGAAATTCATGTCCAAATCTTACCCCAAGATTCGTATATAGACATGGGTCAAAATTTACCACCCCCATAACTCGGCCAAATCTCATCCGATTTTCACGAAGTTTGGATTTTTCTTCATGGTTTTCCCTCTAGATTAATCTGGCATTCAAATCTGAACATCGATTTTTTGGTCGAAATTCATGTCCAAATCTTACCCCAAGATTCGTATATAGACATGAGTCAAAATTTACAACCCCCATAACTCGGCCAAATCTTATCCGATTTTCACGAAATTTGGATTTTTCTTCATATTTTTCCCTCTAGATAAATCTGGCATTCAAATCTGAACACCGATTTTTAGTCGAAATTCATGTCCAAATCTTACCCCAAGATTCGTATATAGACATGGGTCAAAATTTACCACCCCCATAACTCGGCCAAATCTCATCCGATTTTCACGAAGTTTGGATTTTTCTTCATGGTTTTCCCTCTAGATTAATCTGGCATTCAAATCTGAACATCGATTTTTTAGTCGAAATTCATGTCCAAATCTTACCCCAAGATTCGTATATAGACATGGGTCAAAAATTACCACCCCCATAACTCGGTCAAATTTTATCCGATTTTCACGAAGTTTGGCTTTTTCTTCATGGCTTTCCCTCTAGATTAATCTGGCATTCAAATCTGAACACCGATTTTTTAGTCGAAATTCATGTCCAAATCTTACCCCAAGATTCGTATATAGACATGGGTCAAAAATTACCACCCCCATAACTCGGTCAAATTTTATCCGATTTTCACGAAGTTTGGCTTTTTCTTCATGGTTTTCCCTCTAGATTAATCTGGCATTCAAATCTGAACACCGATTTTTTAGTCGAAATTCATGTCCAAATCTTACCCCAAGATTCGTATATAGACATGGGTCAAAAATTACCACCCCCATAACTCGGTCAAATTTTATCCGATTTTCACGAAGTTTGGCGTTTTCTTCATGGTTTTCCCTCTACCACCCCCATATCTCGGCCAAATCTCATTCGATTTTCACGAAGTTTGGCTTTTTCTTCATGGTTTTCCCTCTAGATTAATCTGGCATTAAAATCTGAACACCGATTTTTTAGTCGAAATTCATGTCCAAATCTTATTACAAGATTCGTATATAGACATGGGTCAAAATTTACCACCCCCATAACTCGGTCAAATTATATCCGATTTTCACGAAGTTTGGCTGTTTCTTCATGGTTTTCCCTCTAGATTAATCTGGCATTAAAATCTGAACACCGATTTTTTAATCGAAATTCATGTCCAAATCTTACCCCAAGATTCGTATATAGACATGGGTCAAAAATTACCACCCCCATATCTCGGCCAAATCTCATCCGATTTTCACGAAGTTTGGCTTTTTCTTCATGGTTTTCCCTCTAGATTAATCTGGCATTCAAATCTGAACATCGATTTTTTGGTCGAAATTCATGTCCAAATCTTACCCCAAGATTCGTATATAGACATGGGTCAAAATTTACCACCCCCATATCTCGGCCAAATCTCATTCGATTTTCACGAAGTTTGGCTTTTTCTTCATGGTTTTCCCTCTAGATTAATCTGGCATTCAAATCTGAACATCGATTTTTTAGTCGAAATTTATGTCCAAATCTTACCCCAAGATTCGTATATAGACATGAGTCAAAATTTACAACCCCCATAACTCGGCCAAATCTTATCCGATTTTCACGAAATTTGGATTTTTCTTCATATTTTTCCCTCTAGATAAATCTGGCATTCAAATCTGAACACCGATTTTTAGTCGAAATTCATGTCCAAATCTTACCCCAAGATTCGTATATAGACATGGGTCAAAATTTACCACCCCCATAACTCGGCCAAATCTCATCCGATTTTCACGAAGTTTGGATTTTT